TGTGTAAGCGGCAAAACGATGCAAAGTCAAGTAAAAGAAACGGTACGTTAAGCTTAAGGCCAAAATACAGCTAACCGGAACGATGGGAAAAGTTACGGTAAGTGCATAAGGCCAAAACAAAAACGGTAATTAAAAATAAAACGCTACAGATGGACTTATTGTAAAAACAAAAGGATTTTGGTTGGTTTAAGTTCGGAATGGTACGGTTTCGAAAATAAAATTAGAGCCAAAAGGTCAAACTTACGGCAATTACAAAGGCACGCAAAATTAGCAAAAGGTATAACTTACTTGCGGCACCCGAAAATGGCAAAAGATCCCTCCAAAATTGACCGTTTACCTTATAAGGAAAACGCAATTTGGTGGAAGTGGAACAGAGAATTTCCAGATACTCACTGACTTCGCTCTGGACGATGTGCACATTAATTAGGTTTTTAATTAATTTCGCTGCTCGTGCTCATACTAAAATTCCAGGACATGGCAATCACTTCGTTAATTAAGAGAGTAAAATTTGACACCAAAATGTTTTCGATCGGCGCTCCTTTACTATAACTCATTTAACTAGTGAATGTTAATTATACATACTCAAAAGGCTGAATGGGCGCTCATTAACTGGTTACGTTAATTAACTTTATGTTAATTGCAAGTTTTCGGATACAGAGCCGGCTGGTGCTTATCTAATTTCTCGCTTCGGAACTTATTCTATATCCTTGCTTTTACTTACTATGAGGAACTAAAACGGCCTATAAACAATTAACGGCGCTGAAACGAAAAAATATTAATTGTCCCTCATCTTCGCCTTGACGAAAGCCTTACGAAAATCATTCCAAAATTCCACGGTTGCGGTTTTTTATGTAACCAAGCCCCAAACCAATCGTTACTATACAGGGTGGTCCTCGCAAACCACAAACTGAATTCAGAAACTCCGGATGCTTCTTCAAGAGTGGTTTTCTAGAGTTCAGGAGTGGTGGTGCTAACTATTTCGTTGAATAGCCAGGGGTGAACCCACAGAATCAAGATTAGACTAGACTGGGCAACACTGCTTGGCGTCGCGTACGCTCAAGCAGATAGGCCACACACATTACGCGCTTTTGTAAGGGCTGCATACACCATATCGTGGGCCGATATCCTATATTTTTTAGTAATTTGGGAGACTTTTCACTGAAGAGGCTAAGAGGGGCGAATGTCCCTGAGAAAGCCCCTATCGCGGATGGAAGTGAATGAGGTAAGTAAGAAGAGGAAAAAAGTAAAAGAGTAAGAGTGGTTTGGGGCGTTTAGGAGGAGCAATATAGTCGTAACATCACCGGAACAAACGAAACTGAAAGAGCGAAAGAGATAAATGAGCAAATACAACGAATGAAAGAGAAGATGATGGAGGAAATGAGAGGATTAAGGGAGGAAATGAAGAGAAGGGAAGTGCAATGGGAGAAGAAGAGGCCAGAATTAAAAGGAGGGAAAACTACAGTAGACGATGATGAAAGAAAGGAAAAAGAGAAGATAAGCAATAACATTTATTTATTTATTTATTATCCCTCTCTTGTTATGGGCCCTCAACAGGCTTGCGCCCAATTACAGAGTGACCCACATAATGCTTTTAACATATATATAACAGGAGTAATGATGGAGAGAGAAAACACGGTTGAACGAAAAATTACAAGTAACGATAACAATTGAAGTAGGAGAAAATAAAGTAATAATCGCGGAACGAACATGGATGTTAACAGTAAAGGGAAAACAGGGGGGAAGGGGATAACAAATGGTTCATCTTAAAGGCCGCTTTACATACTGCAATTCTTCATGCAAGACCATGCAATACGCAATAAAACTTGCCCAGAAGCATGCGCGTTTGAGAAACAGCTGATTCTTTTTGGCAATTCACTTGCAATTGCAGGTTAGCGGTCGCGCGCGATTTTTATTGCACTTGCACGTGATATTTTGGGGGAAAGTATTGACAACGCCAGGTTCTAGAATTCCCAAACGTTGAAACTAGACTTTGTTATTATTACTACTATTACTACACAAATTGAAGCTGCGACTGCCTTTTTTTCGATTAAAGTGTCTATTCATTTTTACTCAAAACGCATTCAGAATTATAACAACACCTGATGAATTTTGAATAGAATAAAGCTTTTAGTTCAATTTTAAATGCGAATGTAACAAACTATTGCAAAAAGAAAATTGCCGCGTGTAAAACCAAAGTGCAATAATTATTGCATGTACAGTATTTTTGCAATTAAACTTGCTGCAACTGTATTGCACAAAGAATTGCAGTATGTAAAGCGGCCTAAAGAATCAAATGGTTATATAAAACTTACAGTGTAACTTCATAACATACAACCAAATCCTCGGTTACAATGTAACATTGTAGCTAAAGCCAACACCTAGGCCAACACCTTCGTCAACGTCTCTCAACAAACAACCTATACATTTAAATTATACAGGGTGCTGAGAAAAAAAGAATCTACATCATACATACATACAGAAATGCCCTCTAAAAAAGTTGAAGAACCCCTACCATTTCTGACAGATATTGAGGTTTTATTGGCAGTGTGCGACAGTCACGTTGAACAACATTTTCAAGTTTCTAGGTTTGCCGATAGATAGCGCAAAATTCGTGGTTAAGTAGAAAAATGATTTTTTTCCTAAAATATACGCAACAAACATGCATAAAAAATACATGCAGCCCCATTTTGTATGAATTTTGCATCATTTTGATGCACCAAATATTGCTCTAACGGCTAACGCATAAAATATTAGGGGTGGGGGAAGAGGAACATCTTTTTAAAGAGCATCGAAATCCGGTTAAACCGGAAGTGAAGCTGGAAGTTTGAATATGCGATCAGATAGATCGTAAGGTCACATAAAATTATATTAAACAAATTTTTCGT